GAGTGAGCCTTCCAGAACCCTTGCGATGCTCCCCCCACCTGGAAGCTGGTGATTTCGCCCGTGCTGGCCCCGTGGGGGGTGGGGGGAGCGTCGCAAGGGTCCTGGAAGGCTCACCCGGACCCTTGTGACGCTCCCCCCCATTGGGCCAGCAGGGGTGAAATCGCTGCCTTCGCTCCATAAGACACACAGACTTCCCCCCCACATTTTTTTTGGGGGGGGAAGTGCGTCTTATGGAGCAAAAAATTAACAATCGTTCAAGGACACCCCTATGTTAATTAGAAAACAGTTTGTGTGTAACTCAAATCACAAGAAAGGAAAACTCTGTTCCCAAAAGGTGCTTCCTAGTGGAGATGATTGGGTAAGTAGAGGCTGGCTGTTATCTCTAACATTGGTACTGATCCTGCTAGATTTATTTTGGTTAGCAGTTATTAGAACAGGATTGTCCCAGTGTCTCTAGCATAGATTTATAAGCTTGCTGATTCAGTGTGTCTTTCTTTAAAGCAATCAAAACAATCTGAATCTACTTTAGAGGGATCCTGTCAATCCTTACCGTATTTACAGGAGCTCTACCTTTCCTGCTCTAACGACCACATGTGCCTTTTTATTCTGTTGCAGCACAAGCCATGAAGTTCCTTGATTGCCTTCCAGCCTTAAGAGTTAGAAATGAACAGCTGCAGAAATGCAGCACTGTAAATCAAACAGTGGGCATCTCAAGTAGTTGCTTTGGGGTAGCACTTGTCAGACAAAAGGAAAAACACAGAGCCTCCATGTTTTCTCTGCTGCAGTAAAATATGAGCAGCAGCAGAATTATCTTTGGAGCCTTAATATTTGCCATGTATCTGAGGTGAGCATTACCAATCACAAAGATCTGTATTTCTCTCCAGCTTGGGTCATTACTTTAATTCAGATCTTGACAAAGCAACATTTGGTCAGGACTTTTCTCTCTCCTCCCCACCCCACAACTCTACAAAGTCCAACCTGATGAAGATGCCTGATGAGTTCACCTAATCTATTTGTAATATTTTTAATGTTCCAATGAAAAAGTACTACCCATCCATTTTTTTAACAAAGTACACAGAGCCCAATACCAAGGTCTCAGATACATGTTACATTTATCATGAGAAGACAAGGTACAAGTCAAGATCTGATTGCTGAGAAATTAGACATTTCTATAGGGACACTGAATTTTTTTTTAGAAGGATCACAGAGCAACACTCATGTAACAGGAAGCTCTGGTTCCCTTTCTCCAGCTAAGTATGATAAATAATAGGACAAATAGGATGAAATCCTATTGCTGAGCATATTAAATCACACTAGAGTAGCCCACTGAATCAGTGGTGATCCGATGTTAGACTTCTTTATAAATTCCATTGATTTGAATAGACCTACTCCAGTTGCAACTTACTACTCTAAAGTAAGTCACAAACAGAATTCAGCCATTTGAATCAATGGAAACTGATTCGAATCTCCACTGATTTAGTGACCCTAATCTAGTGCAACCTAACTTGCTCAGCAAAAGGATTTCAGCCTTGACATATAATTGTGTGCTGGAAGAAGAAAGAAAAACAGTGGTTGTTATTTCCATACCTGTCCATCACTGTCTTTAATAACCATTAGCACTGGTGTGTCCAGTCCTATCATGGTCCTGTATAACGTCTTCAAGCTCATGCCATGCTTTGCAGTGCTGTAGACAAGTCTCCATGGATACCCAATAGTTCGAGGTGGAAGGTGTTTTGTTAGCTGATAAAACAGAGATGTAAATATTGTATGTGAACTGAATAAATGGGGTAACTGATATCGTTTTAGAGGTATAAACACACAATAAAGTCTTTGTTGTGCGAGCTGCAAAAACTCAGTACTCTAAGAGTACGTATTATAGCTGTCTTCAAATTTTACACCAGCACTCTTTTACATAAAATGACTAACTGTTTTCAGGTAATGTACCTGGAGTTTACATTCCACTGACGTCTCTCAGGATTGCTTCCAAGTAAATATATTAGAATTAGAATATTAGACTCTAGTAATCTGGAAAGATGTGCACCATACATTTCATAGTATAGTGGTGACCCGCAAGACGATGTTAATTCGTTCAGCGAAAATTGCTGTCTTGTGAAAACATCATCTTGTGAAATGTGGTTCCCCATTGGAATGCATTGTAATCTGTTTAATACGTTCCAATGGGGAAAAATCGTCATTGTTTTGCGAAAATTGCCCATAGAGAAACCGTTTTTCTAATCATGGATCAGCTGTCAAAATCGCTGTCTTGCGAAAAACGGTCATGAAAACACCTGTTTTGCGAGTCGCGGACTCAGCTGTCAAAATCGTCATCTTGCAAAAATTGATCCCGAAAAAAACATCTTGCGAAGCACGGTCCGAAACACTGTCCAGTGAAAATCGCCCATAGGAAACACCATTTTGTGAAGTGCTATAGCGATCGCAAAAACTCATTGTCTAGCGAATTAACCATTTTGCGAGGTTATCATCTAGTGGGACACCACTGTAATAATTCAGATGACCCAAATTATTTTACCAAATGTTCTCCTGATACGTTATGAAATAATCTATATCCTTTGTTGGATGAAGTGGAGACTGAAACTCTTCAGAAGCCTTCCTCCTTTTCTTATTCATAAGGAACAAGGACCAATAATGGCTTGTTGCAATCACAATAAGGCATGTGCAGCATAACTATGGAGCATATTTCCACACCAATCAATTCATTGAATATTACTGAACATGCTCTCACTAGAAACACTAGGATTCATGAGAATTGTACTTCCCACTATTCCTTGATTGCTGCATATACTTCACCACAGTGAACCTACTTTAAGGAAAAGTTGTAGTAAAGCCCTGAAAAGCATTTTGAAATGGATCCACTTTGGAATGGTCAGAATTCTGAAGGATCAATATACAATCTAAAATTAATTCAGTGTCCAAATTTACATACTCTGCATATCCCTAGAGCTATCTGATTCACCTTTATGGTTACCATCATACAAATTGTTTTGTTCATCCCAGCATACTATATGTAGTTTTCTTGTCAAGCAGTATTGCTCAAAGCAAATGATCTATTGAAGTACATCAATAGAAATGAATTCAAATTCTATATACTTTAACAGCAATCACAGCTTTTAAGGTGATCACATAAGGAAACTGAAATGTCAAGGCTGATACATTTACTTTTGAGACTTTCATGAAATAATATTGGCATCCTGAAAGGCCAAAGAGAATGTACCATCACAGAGAAAAATCCTCTTCCATAATTATACTGGAGTAGGAGAGATGCCATAATTTGCAGGATGATGCCAACTAAACAGTTCCCACTTTTGTTCTTTATTGTTTCAACTTCATTATACTGGAACCGAAACCACACACAACCCAGAACTGTAGCGAGGGCTCTTTAATAAGCAGCAATCTGCTCCCACCAGTGACATCATTTCTTCATCAGCGTAAGTTACATAAGAAGATTTTGGCTATGAGTTGATTTTATACACAGCTTCAATCTTTATACCAAATTAAGATGAAATGCCTCGGTGTAGTGAAAACAATCATCCTAACTCTAGCTTTGATCCTGTCTTGGCAATACTTAATCTGCTGAGAGTACTGCTGTTTTGTATGTAATTAAGCTTAAGCTTGCAACGGCCATAGGCTCCATTGGGGGTTTTATGAGCTGACTGAGCACTAGGGAAAGTGACCACTGCAGAAGTGATGCCTGCATGTCAGAGGAGACATTCCATAACCCTAATTATTAAGTGTGGGAGCATGTGTACTATGGGGAGCTGGTCTAATAATTTTCTTTAGGCTCTGGAATGTTCTGAGAACTTTTATGCAGGTGCAGAAACAACCCACACATGATTTACAGAGATTTATTTTATTTATTTATTTATTTAATTTATATCCCGCCTATCTAGTAAATTAAGACCACTCTAGGCGGCTCAAAAAGAACAACAAATTAATCTTTTCATGTTTAACAACTGTTTGATCCACCACTTATAACAGCACCTTCAGAAAGAGATATTTTTTGAAAGAGGCAGCCATTTTTTTTTGCTATTTCAGCATGTATAACAAAAATAAGAGAAAAAAGGGGCTTGTTAATCTTAAACACGCTGTGAATCTTCTTCACCTTTTTTATACTGAAAGAGATATATATCTCTACCATTACAGTTCAGATTTCTACTGCAATAGCGAATGCAATATGAGAGCTATAGTGCTATACGAAATATGAAGCTCCTCTTATCCCATACCTTTTCAATTTGTCCCACTTGTAGCAATTCGCTAGGATCACTAAGATTTGGCCGAAATGCCTCAGGCTCCAGTTCGGGCTTAATGGTTGTTCCAGGCTTTGAATGTATATCTTCCTTTGTAGTTATCTGCAAAGAAGAAGACAATTAAATTAGCATTTAAAACTACCTATGCCATATTGACTCTGTGGAGTTCCAAGCCATAAGGAAAATAGAAACTAATGAAGACCATTCAAAAACATTCATTATTTTGCAGCAAATCCCAGTAAATGGTGCACTAAAGGACATTTGTAACAGCTTCTGACTCCTCTTCTTAAATTAGCATTCCTCTAATATTGAAACTGATAGTTTTGCCTGCACAGCAATTTGCATAGCGTTTTTAACTTGTGTGGCCAAATAAGATGTAATGGTGACAGACATCCTTGTTTAAGCCAAGATATTCTCCACTTACATAGAGAGATGGAAACTCCGGCAAGCTCAAATGAATGAGAAAATTGAATTGATAGACAAGACCGCATGAGAAAAAAAAAGATGAAGGTACCCCTGTGAATCTCTTTTATTACTTATATTGACTCTTCCCATTCTTCAGCTCCTTAGGACTGAATAAGATCTAGGTTTAAATACAGAATACCCATCATCAAGTTTATAAGTATTAAGATAATAAAATATTTGTAATAAGACGTTATCAAATATTTATTGTAGCTGCAACGGTGATTGTTTTTTTCCAAATAAAGAATGCATAGAACCTTCTGTTACAGAAGTTACAGTCCACCCTCCGCATAAAAGGAACAAATCCAGCTTCTTCCACCATGTGATGCAAATACTAGTAAGCACATCTTTCTGCCTTCTGCAATACTTTTTTTAAAATCACAGCACTGTATTAATCTCTTAAGACGATTGTAGCAACTACTTAATGTTACTCACAGTACAGCTTTCTGTAAACAAGCAGAACAAGTTTCTCCGGCTTTTGATTCATGAAATCTGTGGTTAGACTTTAACACTGAATACATATGTCCACCATACAGATTCAAAGGCTTCCATACTAATGCTGCATTTTAGAAACAAAGAACTGGTAATTTACTTTGTTTCCTACCAAATAGAAAAATCTGTATGAAAAAATGTCTGGGGCAAAATTATATATTACTGAGGGATGTAGAGAGAGTCAAAAATCAGAACATAGGCCTCTGCCAGACTGCTGTAAAACAGCAAGCAAGAGATTATTCAATGTACAGAGAAATGTCTTACCAGATACGGATAGTGAAGTGGTTCCCAACCTTGAGTCCCCTGATGTTTTTGGAGTACAACTCCTAGAAATCCTGGCCAGCACAGCTAGTGGTCAAGGCTTCTAGGACTTTTAGACCAAGAACATTTGGGGATCCATGGTTGGGAACCACTGGGATAGTGATTTGATCTTTTGTATGTCACCATCTCTTCTCCACAACTGCCTTTCCTCTTTCAAACATGCTTTTTCCCAGTCTAAAATTCTCACTAAATGGCATGGGGGGGGAGCATATAGGACAAAAAGATGACAGGATACATGCTTAAGTCCTTCTACTAACTGTCTTTTAAACTGTCTTTTAATTTAGATCACATCTCCTCATCCATGTATTTTATAGCTATTTGGTGGCAACTACGTATTTCGCTGTTCCACCCTGCCATGTATACATTGAGTACAGTGGTGCCTTGCTTTACGATTGCCCTGCATTACGACAAAATTGCATTACGATTATCTTTTTGCGATCACAATTGCGATCGCAAAACGATTGAATAGGGGTTTTTCGCTTTGCGATGATTGGTTCCCTGCTTTGGGAACCGATTCTTCGCAAAATGACGATTTTTGGACAGCTGATCGGTGATTTCAAAATGGCCACCGGGTAAATAAAATGGCTCCCCCCTGTTCTCTGGGATGGATTCCTCATAAGACAGCTGCCGAAAATGGCCGCCCAATGGAGGATCTTTGCTGGACAGTGTGTTTCCAACCCATTAGAACGCATTGGAGGGGTTTCAATGTGTTTCAAGTGGCTTTTTATTTTGGCATTACGATGTTTTCATTCTACAGCAATTTCGCTGGAACAAATTAATGTCGTAATGCGAGGCACCACTGTATTTGGGTTTCCTAGAGTAAATTCAGTGCAGTTAGAAATGTCAGTGTGTTTGTCAATACTTTTTCTTTAAATACAGAGCAACTCTCTCTCTCACTTACATCCGTATGTTTTTTTTAACTGTCATCTTCTGAACCAACATGACCATCTTGTGAAAATAAGATGGTGAAGCTTCCGAGACAAACTCCCAAATCAAGGAGCAAAAGTAAAAACATAAGAAATACAGGCAGCCCAATATCTTCCATACATTGCTACTGGAAAAACCATAACTTTGACTATGCGCACCTTTGTAATGTCTCTGCTGGTCGACAAGGCGATGTATCTGCTTTTTAAGATGCTGTCTAGGTTTCTCATTGCTTTCCTCCCAAGAAGCAGACATCTTTTAATTTGGGGGCTTCTGTCACCATCTGCAGTAATCATGAAGCCCAAGAAAGTAAAATCTGTCACTGCCTCCATATCTTCCTCTTCTATTCCCCTTCTATTTGCCAGGAGGTGATGGGGCCTATGGCCGTGATCTTAGTTTTTTTGATGTTGAGCTTCAGAACATTTTTTGCACTCTGCTCTTCCACACTCATTAAGAGGTTCTTTAATTTCTCCTCACTTTCTGCCATCAGAGTAGTATCTGCATATCTGAGGTTGCAGATATTTCTTCTGCCAATCTTAATTCCGTCTTGGGATTCTTCCAGTCCAGCCTTTTGCATGATATACTCTGCATACAAATTAAATAAGCCAGGGGACAATATACAAACTTGTCATACTCCTTTCCCAATTTTGAACCAATCAGTTGTTCCATATACAGTTCTAATTGTTGCGTCCTGTCACACATATAGATTTCTCAAGAGACAAATAAGGTGGTCAGGCACTCCCATTTCTTTAAGAACTTGTCATAGTTTGCTGTGGTCCACACATTCAAAGGCCTTTTCGTAGTCAATGAAGAAGAAGTGATGTTTTTCTGGAACTCTCTGGCTTTCTCCATAATCCAGCGCATGTTACCAATCTGGTTTCTAGTTCCTCCGCCCCTTCAAAATCCAGCTTGTACTTCTGGGAGTTCTCGGTCCACATACTGCTGAAGCCTATCTTGTAGGATTTTGAGCATAACTTGCTAGCATGGGAAATGAATGTATCATTCATACTGACTTGGAAATAAGTCCTAATGTTCTAATTCACAAGCCACAGCACTTCTGCTAAACTTAGCTTATGTGAATACGTTCAATGCTAATTTCACTGAAATGAAAAAAACATTTTAAAGGAAGAGGCAGTAAGATAAAGAACACCAAGAAATGTAAACACAGAAATCCATAAGAAAGCAGATTATTTAGTTCAAAATGTATTTATTGAAAATTTTTTACCCCTTCTTTCTTTTGCTATTTACTGATCAGTTTGAATGAATGAGCTTTATTACGGTCACTGACCAGCAGACTAATCTGTTTCAAAGTGGGGTTTCACAAATTAGCAACAGTTAAATTACTGTATTCTTGAAGGCTTTCATGGCCGGGATCCGATGGTTGTTGTAGGTTTTTTGAGTGGTTTGGCCATGTTCTGGAGGTTTTTCTTCCTAACGTTTCATCAGTCTCTGTGGCCGGCATCTTCAGAGGACAGGAGTTAGAACTCTGTTCTGGTGTCGTGTGTGGGATAGTTGAGTATCAGCCTGAAAAACCTACAACAACCATCAGTTAAATTACTGCTGATAAATGTTTCACAACAGTAATTTGAAGAAAACTGCTGTCCTTATCAGTTCCTTCAACTTCATTTAAGAAGTTTTGTTTTCCCTGTCACAGACAAAGATCGAAAAATTCTTTCAGCCGAGTCCATTTCTGTTAGATTTTAAAAACCACTCACGTAATTTGGATTTATACTGAATTACTTACACTGAAGTGACTGGCATTATGGAAGCTTAAAGCCAAACACTTACCCAAGCTCTGGATCAGAGCTGATATTATTCATTTTCTAAATTCTCAGTACAGTTCACTTCTTCAAGCTTTAGACAATGTTTATGTAGTTTTAAAGATATGCTTCCAGCAGTAACATACATAGATATACTCCATGGGTACAAATGCCAGTATGTAAGGAATGAATCTACTGAAAATGCAAAAGCCAGGACAAGAAACATAGAAAGCACTAGTGAAACCCAAGAAACTTTAAGAAGGGTAGAAAAAAACTGAAGTTGTATGCCAAGTAGCTGCTTTTTTTCTGGTTGAGTTGTGACAAAATGAAAAAAAATGAAGAAAAAAGCATGATTCCTGAATTATGGATATTGAGACAAACATAAAGTACAACTTTAAATTCCATGTCAAAAGCTTTTGGCCAAATGTGTAAAATTTGCAAGTCAGACTGAAACAAATTCTTTTGTATTCTCTTTTTAAAAGCTTTTCCCAATCAGCCTTTTAAAAATTCAGCAAAGGGAACAAAGCTTCAAAAATAAACAGAACATTCCTCCCAAGTTTGAACTAGCTAGAACCAAGCCAAAACAGTTTCATTTTTGCTTCTGTTACTGTTTAAAAATATTTGCATTTTTTTGGCATGCTTTCATTTCCTCTCAAAAGCTAGAATGCAAATCCAGAGATGTGCTTACAAAGTGTTTTTAAGGCTCAAGGATGTTATTCAGCTGTTGAATTAAACCCCACAGTACAGCCAAGTATAATGTGACCTTTCCAAATAAGAAAAAGCTTTTGTAGAGTTCCTTTACTAGAGTACCACCTGTGGCAATATGTTAAGGCTGGGTTGGATAAACAATATTCTACCATTAAAATCAAAATGGGGCACAGATAGTACAGGCTCCCTGTTTCAGACGTGTACGCTCTATACATACTAAACAGCAGAACTGACAGCAGAGGAGGGAATGGCCACAGTTCTCCTTTCATGCTTTTCAATGTATTAAAAGCAATGCCTGAATGAGCCTGAAGCTCATGGTTAACACCAGAAACATAAACGAGTTCAACCACTGAAATGTGGTATCTGTCCTTTTATCTTCAAGATGTCTCTTCTTTCCTGTGGGAGGTGCATAATTTCCAGTCCTTAACAGCTAACAATCTGTCAGCATTCTGAACTCTTGAGTCAACATGAAAAGCCCTAAGACAACATCTTAAACCCATTTCTTTTGTTAATTAAATACATAACGGCTTCATTAGGGGGTAGCTTATCCACACATTAATGAAACTAGCTGCCTCCCTGGCTTGAACGTCTCCCTTTCTGTTCTGTTCCTCTCATGGGGCCAAGATTTAACTTCTGGTCAAGCATGGCTTGCACTGAAATCCAAACATACAAGTATGAGTAAAGTCAACCATATTTAATTAATAGAGAAATAACTCCAAAAATCATGGTTCAAAGTTGGTTTGTTTTAATACAACCAGAGGTAATTTTAAATACAATTTGTCCAGATGTGACAAACTGTGGGCAACCAAAGTGGAGGTTTCTGAACTCTTCCTCTATTCTGTCCTGAAGGTAGAAGAGACAGCCAGCCTGGGAGGAGGTTAGAGTAGTTGTGATGTCTGAATGTAGCCATTTTGGAATCCTTCAGTCCACATTATCAGTAATGGCACTAGACATGGTCCTAGCTTGTCATGTGGGAACATGGAAATATTTATGAGGAATATATTTAAAAGACTTTGCATAAGCTATTGCTTACTTCAGTAAAGGAGATTTCAAGAACAGCCAGATTCTAGGAACCTTTGCTCTCACAGACCAGGAACTCCCTTCAGTTATAAATTGTAAATTACATCATCTGCACACTTTCTTGGAACTTTAAATACAGGCTTTGCATGTATTTCTACAGTTCTATTTGACGTAAAGCTAATATCCAGAATTTATATAAAAACACAGAGAAAAACGTTATCTTAGAGTATCTTTCATTCAGAATTTTCAAGTAAGGAAGTTCTAACAGAAATATTTGAAAATCTTGCCCAGTTCTAGAAGCTTGTCACAAATGTCACCATCATAACACACAATCATACCACTAAATAAGGAAGAAATTTTCTGCCAGGTTGCTGCAGTGTTGCAGTTATTATAAATCCCTGAATATGGGATTTGTCTTGGTCAAAGATACTACAAAACAGGATGCTATAGCCTCTGGATGAGGTGCATTAACTACTGAAGAGAGCACCTTGAGACGTCTGCAGAGTGTGCGTAGTTCTTCACTATTTAGAGCATCGATTCTGCGGTGATACTCAGCCACTGATACTACCTGAATATGGAAACAGGAAGACAAAAATTCCACTGACAGTTAAAGAAAAAGAAAGAGCAATAAATAAACAAATAAATAAATAAATACAACACAGCATGAAAGGATTCGACAATGTGGGGAGTATAAGGGGAGTGAACAACAACACAATAAAATTAAAATGTAGCAAGACATTGCTGTAGTGATATGATACACTGCAACATTTCACATTAAAATGAATACATGTAACAGTCAGGATTTCAAAGAAAACAACATCGCTGATCTGATATATCTTCGCAGTAGGAAGCATAAATTCCTGCTAGAATATTGTGGAAGCATATGGACTACTAAAACATTTCTTTTTATAAATACTGTCTGCTATTTTTAACTGGGGATAAAAGCAGAAGCAAAGGCAAATTTCAAGTTGGGAATCATGAAGAAAGGAACTGAAAAGAAACCTGACAACTTCATACAAATCCATAGTATGTGGAGTACAGGGAAGAGTTCTGCTTACGTTAATAAAAAATGATATTTCAGTGCCCAAAGCGACAAACGTTCCAGAACAACTCTGTATGATGAGAAGTTCTAATGTTGGAATAGTTTAGTTAAAAAAAGGTAACTAAGGCTAGCAGCAATAACATTAGGGAAAGTATATAGAGAAATGTTATTTCCGCTTCATTCATACTACAGGTTTGCATCCTCACAAGCATAAGCAATTAATTTTAAAATAATTTATGGACATTTCTGAATGGATCCGCTGACTACCGCCTCTACCAAACAATGCCTTTTAATATATGTATGAAGTTGCTGAGAGCTCATATGGAGATCTGGAGTTTGTTATCAATACATAGATCACACACAGCTCTAGCTCGCCTTCTCTTCATCTGCAGGTGAAGATATGTGGATTCTTGAGTTCTGTCTGTTGATAACGGACTGCATGAGGGCCAGAAAACTAAAACCTAATCTAGGTAAGATGGAGATTCTACTCCTGGGAGGACCATTGAACTAGTTAGATGGACATTTACCTGGCCTCAATGGGGCTACACTCCCCCGAAGGATCCAGTTCACAACCTGGGGGGTGACTCAAGGATCCAGCCCTCTCTATGGAGGCGCAAATATCTGCTGTGGCCAAGAGTGCCTTTTATCAACTTCAGTTGATTGCCCAGCTGCACCCATAACCTGGATAAGAAATGTCCAACAACAGTGGTTCATGCACTGATAATCTCTAAAACGGACTACTGTAATACTCTTTGCATAGGGCTGCCTTTGAATTCAGTATGGAAACTTCAACAGGTCCAAATGTGTGTGGCCAGACTGATTATAAGTACCAGCCTCAAAAACCCTTCTCCAGAGTTTGAATACTTTCACTGGCTCTCTATCAATTTCCATGCTCAATTTAAGATTACTAGTCATAAGTTCTTAATGATTTAGGACTTCGATATTTGGCAGAATCTTTCTCCCACAAAATAACTACCCATCCCATACACTCCTCACAGTTCTTCGTGTTAAAAACTTTAACACCCAAGAAGGCAAAAACAAAATAAAACAAAACAAAAAACAGTTCAGCATTAGGAACTGAGCTTTCTCAGTCAAAGGATGTTTCTGAAATATTACTTAGAGGATCAGGTGGAAGAAACCTTTTATATACACTGTATCTGCAAACAACTTAATAAGCCACCAGAAGTAGTACTTGTTTGGATACTAGGTTCAAATTCAACCGACTCTTGTGTTCCTGCTGACTGAAAAAAATCACCTATGCTATGAACACTCCCCCTTCCCCCCCAAAAAAAAAACTAGGTAGGAGATAATTACAAGAATGCTCACAAACATTGATCAATCTATGCAACTGTGTTAGCCAACCTGCTACTGTATTTTGTGTCAGACTGATTCAAAGGAGGTCTTAGTCAAAAGTTATTCTTTGATTCATATTGAAGGATTGCTTCTTCAGCACTTCCTAAATCCCAAGCAGTCTCTTCTTTGAATGACTGATAGGTTTTCTAGAACTAGTCCCATTAAACTTCCTGCCTGCATTCTGAAACAGAGCACGTTTAACATATTACTTCCAGAATTTCTTACAATGCTGGAGAAACGAAGAATTAAAACAACCTGATGTTCTGATGCCAATGTAAGGATCTACTCTCACACACTGCCCACCTCCACACACCAACTTTAATATCTCGCGTGGCACCATAAAGACTATCAAGCTGTTTCTCTGGACTACAGACCATTTCATTAGACAGAAAAGGGTTGCAGTCTGTGAAATATCATACTAGTTTTTAATGTACCACAAAAACTTTTTCAGTGACAAATTAGCACCAGTACCCCTTTAGAAATCTTTATTACCATCCTAATATTTCAGCATGATTACCTCATTCTGACGATCTTGTCTGCTGTAGCAAAATACTCAATGCAACAAAGCCTAAACTATCTCCTTCAATGAAGCTGATCACACAGAGAGGTACTGGGAACATTTGAAGTTTAATTAGCTGACTCTTGCAAGATAAAAGCAAGATTTGCACTTCACAGGCCTACAGTGAAATAACTATGAGAACACAAACTTAATATCTTCCTATGAATGCTGATAAAATATCTGAAATTTAAGAGCATATTCACTCCATTCATATGGTATATTCACAAAACAGAAGTAAGCAACTTGAGGCCCTCCAGATGCTATAGGACTGTAAGTCTTATAGACCCTCACTACTGGCCATGCTAGCAAGGATAAGTTCAACAACACCTGAGGGGCCACAAGTTTCCTGACTGTTGCAGAAACAAATATATCTATGTTATTCCAAGCCATGCCCACTTTGTACTGGCACAGGGAAAGAACCTGGATCAAGGTTCCCTCTAAGCTTGGCGAGTAGGTGCACCTCTGCACAGTGATCATGTTAAGTCCAGTCACAACTGAACCCTGCACGCAGGGGGAAAGTCATGCTTGTACACAGGAGCAATTTCACGCACACGCGAAGCAGAGCCCTGCCCAGCAGAGCTAAAAGTTAGAGGGTACATTGACCTGAATATAGTTGTATTAAATGTTCTAAAATGAATATTGGAAATATTGGGAGAAAGGCAGCCTACAAAACATAATCAATCAATCAACCAATATGATGCAAAAAATCAAGAAAGTTTGTGGAGTTCCAATCTTTAGGACATGCTGCTTCCCAAATCACAAATGAAAGAAGAATGTCAGAGAGAAAGTTGCTTTCTGTTCTTTAGTTCCTTTTTTGATTTATAGTATTTCATTTTAAGGAGGGACATGGTGCAAAAACAAAATAAACCGCAGAAGCCTGTGCTGCAGGGTCAGAAGACCAAGCAGTCGTAAGATCGAATCCACGCGACGGAGTGAGCTCCTGTTGCTTTGTCCCAGCTCCCGCCAACCTAGCGGTTCGAAAGCATGCAAATGCAAGTAGATAAATAGGGACCACCTGGGTGGAAAGGTAACAGCGTTCCGTGTCTAAGTCGCACTGGCCATGTGACCACGGAAGATTGTCTTCGGACAAAACGCTGGCTCTATGGCTTGGAAACGAGGATGAGCACCGCCCCCTAGAGGCAAACACGACTGGACAAAAATTGTCAAGGGGAACCTTTACCTTTACCTTTTATTTCATTTTAAACTGAACATTGATAGGGGCTGGACTTGATGATCCATAGAGTTCCTTCCAGTTATGCAGTTCTAAGATGATATAAAAGTTCTAGATGCACAGATATTCACACTGTACAAATGCAGTGAAACAATGTGCAACCACAATCTAAGCAAAAATGATGTACAAGAGATTATGAAAGTAATATAAATCTAGCATATGTTTACCACAAATCGCTTCTGTACTTAGAACAATTTTCTAATTTTGTTCATTACAATATTATTTAATTCTTAAACCAAACTGGATTGTACAAAATAGATGCTGCAGTCTATTTTGAGAAACAACTCCGTCTCCACCTCTATTTATTACAGAGTGGCAAGGACCACACACACACTCCTTTCTTAGTGGTTTATCTTATCTAAGGAGCTCTTAGTCCCCAAAACGCTACTAATATTCTATTTTTAATTTAATAGCCCTTCATTAGCAAAGGTTGTGTTGGCTCTGAGTATAAAACACTGGTTGTAGAAACGTGCTGACACTTTTAAAAATAAGCAAAAATAGCTCTCTCCACCTAAAAAGGTTTTAAAGTAGGTGTAATTATACAATTCTGGGGTTTGTTAGCCAGAGCAATTGCTGCTACCCTGTTTCCCCAAAATTAAAACCTAACCCGAAAATAAGCCCAAGTATGATTTTTCAGGATGCTCATAATATAAACCCTACCCCCAAAATAAGTCCTAGTTAAGTGAAACCCCATCCTCCCCCATTGTGCAGCAACCAGAAGATGACATGACTGTATTTGAATAAATGTAGATTGTTGTACAGGAAAAAAATCCCCTGAAAATAAACCCTAATGCCTTTTTTGGAACAAAAATTAATATAAGACCCTGTCTTATTTTCGGGGAAACACAGTAGTCCTTTCTATGATTGCCCAATACATTAGTCACTGTTGTCCACCAATACTCAAAACAAATTAGAACTGCTTGCATACTTAAATACTGAAGTCTGATTTTTATGTAATACTAAATGCTAAACCATAATTTAGTGTATGTGTAGACGAAGTGCACACTGAGGGCTCCCTTCTCTTTATTGAGAGTTAAAGGAACAATTTTACAATGTTTTACACAGTAGTCAACTATATATATTTAAACATATATCTGTGTCACTCTCCAAACAGAATCTTTAAAGCAGACAATAATAAAATTTGCCTGTTGGGGGCAATGATTCTAATCAAAGTACTATATGCCTTCTTCTTTCACTCTTATGCTTTCTGATGACATCATAACTGACATATCATAATGATTCCCGTCCAAGATCTACAGAAAAGAATTTAGGGTTTTTTTTTAACCTCAGTAATAATTAATGAAACATGTTAAGCTTTTTCAACTAATTTTCCAGTCTTTGTGAACACCCTGCAATGTTATTCATTCAATTTATCTCCAAAAT